TGTCTATTGGCTTGTGACTTTCAATTTGCAGGTCCACTAGAGGTAGAACCCCTGCTACTGGTTTTTCAAGCTAGTAATCTGTTGATGTGCACTATATACTTCTGTTAATTCTTTATTTCTTAAATTGGCAAGTCAGTACTTTTTCATCATTCTTTTGAAAACTTTTGTTATTTTATTTGTAGAGATTAGAATATTTGAGTTTATTTTATCAAAATTCAAGTTTATTATTTCAAAATTTGAGTATACTATATCAATCATTAATAATTTATATAATAAACTCAAATTTGAAGTGATAAACTCAAATTTTAACATGATAAATTTGAATATTTAAGCTAGTTCCAATCTCTACATTATCTTTTTTAGTAGTTTATTATTCTTTTAATAGTTTATTCTTTTAATATTTTTTTGTTCTTTTTTTTTAGATTATTGTTTATTTCATTATTTTTTTTTTGCATTTTTTTACTTTTTTAGTACTTTTTTCTCTATTTTTGTTACTTTTGGTAATTTTTTATTATTTTTTTAGTACTTTTCTGATATTCTTTTGTTTTTTAATATTGTAGTTTGTAGTTAGGTTTGGGTTAGGTTAGAGTTAGAAAAATAGTGTCTATTAATAAAGTTTTACAAGAAGTATTTTAATTATATCACAAATAGTTTCTTAATTTAAATTTTAAGTTATTTTTGTTTTTTTTAAAAAAAAAATAGCTATTATTAAATTTTAATAAATAAAAAATTTTTTAAATATCATATTCTTTTTTTTTAAAAAAAAATCTTAACCGTATTATAGTATTAGTGTTTAAAAAAAATTTAATTGGCCAGCATGTTATTAGTGAAATATTTTAAATTGGTGATACTAGGAAAGTGGATTAGCATATAGATAAGTAGATTAGCATATAGATACCATTTTGAATTTACTTATTTCCTCAAGTGATAATATCATGCGACAATAATAAATATCATAAATTATACTGAATTTGCCTAATGCTAAATATTTGACCTATTTTATTATAAAATTTTAAAAATTTTTAAAGGCTTTTGTTAGAGTTTTTTTTTAAAGTTAGATTAGAGTTTAGAGTTTGTATTATTAGTAAAAGAATATATGTGAATTTTAATAAAAATTATAGAGTTAAATGGAGAACTGAAATATTCAGCATTAGCTATACAATAAATATTTATTTGTTATTTTCATCAATAATATGTGAATTAGACTAGTATTAGGATTAGAGATAAAGCTGTGATAAGGCAAACTAGATGGGTTGTCAGTAGAAACCAGGCAAATTGTTTTTAGTAAGATTTTTTTTAAACTTAAAATTAAAATATCTTAACAACTATTAAACCAAACTCAATAATTTTTTTTATTTTAATTTTATAGCTAAATAGCATTAAAATAAAATAATTTTTATCAAGTTTAGTTTAATAGTTGTTGAGATATTCTAATTTAAAGTCTAAAAAAAATTTACTTAGAAATAATTTGTCTAGTTTCTACTGATACCCTCTATATAATAAAATTTAGCAAGAGATTTTTTTAATTATAGTAAAAGGCAAATCCTTAAGCAAAATTTTGCATTACTGATAATTTTTGAAAAAGCCTTCGATAGTGTTCTTATGAACCTGTTCACAAACATGTTTAAAGGCTCAAATAATAAATAATCACAAAGATAAAATTACTTATATCTCATGATCTACTGAGCCAATTTTAACATTTTAATTACTATTCTGTTCTCAAGACACTTCTCTACAACTTTACTTAGGTATTGAAAAGAGGTTTACTTAGTAAAGAAAAAAATTTTTACTTTGAGAAACTCCAAAGTTGAAAATCCAGGGAACTGGATTAACTAAAAACCCGTTTGGAAAGTCCTGAGTTGAGAGGCAGCATGATCTTCGACGGTACTACAGGAAGGCTAAATTTGGAACTGGGACTGAGATTAGAGAACTGAGCGACCAATCTGGACATACCAGCCGAACCGCCGGGTAGATGCGCCAGAGAAAAAGGATATATGCTTCGAAAGTATATACCAAGGGGAGGGTGACTATAAGGCACTTAAAGCCTGGGCAGACCGACCCTTCCAGGTTGCCGGCTGGAAGCAAATGAGGGACCGATAAAGAATCTGAGGAAGAAGAAGGCCTGAATGTGGGTATTGGAGTTGTGTGAACTGAACAAAGCAGGTAATAGTAGGGGTTCAATGGTTCACCCTGACCCAAGTACATAGGTGAAGCTGTGGCGTAATTACTAGTAAGTCTAAGTAGTTAAAACATGTGTGGAACATGTACTAGCTTAGCCAGATATTACCTCAGGGGTAAAGTAGCCCTAGGCGTCTAACCACAGTTTGGTTTATCAAAGGTTCCACATGTGGAAGTAAGTTATAATCAGAGGGTTTAAATGGGCAACCCTGTAGTTTGGGTTGCAGGTATAGCAGATAGTGTAGAACCTTCGAGCAGACTATTTAAATTAGGTATCAAAAGTGCACGTGTGGCTTGATGTACTCTTATTGTAACAAAAACAGATAATCTTTAATAAATTCAAACACAGACATGGCCAATGAGGTAAAAAAAAAAAAAAAAAAAGAAACTCCAAAGTTGAAAAGTTTCTATTATAATAAAAGTTTTAAATTTTAACTATAATATTTTTCTTTACTAAGTAAACCTTTTTTCAACTTCTAATAAAAGTTGTAGAGGAGTTTCTTGCAAAGGTGGTTAAAATGTTAAAATCGGCCTAGTAGATCATGAGATATAAGTATTTTTATCTTTGCTTTCTTCTTTATTTATATAAAAAAAATTTTTTCTTTAAAAATAAAGAAGAAGTATATAATTGCAAAGTTAAAAATACTTATATCTCACGATCTACTGGGCTGATTTTAACGTTTTAACCACCATTTTGATTGCAAGATACTCCTCTATAACTTTTATTAGAAGTTTAAAAAGGTTTACTTAGTAAAGAAAAATGTTTTAGTTAAAATTCAAAACTTTTATTATGATAGAAACTTTTTGACTTTGGAGCTTCTCAAAGAAGATTTTTTCTTTACTAAGTAAACGTCTTTTCAACGCCTAAGTAAGGTTGTAGAGGAGTGTCTTGGGAACAGAATGGTAATTAAAATGTTAAAATTGGCCCAGTAGATCATGAGATATAAGTATTTTTATCTTTGTGATTATTTACTTTTTTCTTTATTTGAGCCTTTGAACAGGTTCATAGAAACACTAGACTTTGATTTTACATTACACCTGATCTTGTAATCTATATAGAAATTTCTTTTTTGGGCTTGTATCACTTGTAAAAATAAGTTTATGGAATCCTGATTTTTATATAATTTAATCATGTGTCTCAATTGTTATTGATCAAAATTTCTTAAATTTACTATTTTTATGGTTTATATTTTTAATATATCATTTAAAAAATTGTTATTTGAATTTATATGAATTTTTTTGATGACCATAAGTGATGTGAATCATATAAAAATTTATTTACCATATGTTTCCAAAAATAAGCAACCTCCAAAAGAAGCTACCCCTTTTCTCTTGAAGAGAAAACATAAGAAACACCTTTGTTCTGAAAATAAGCTACCCCTATTAGCTGCAAGTAGTTGCTACATATAAAAGTCAAAATTCTATTAAGTAAATCGACAAAAGTCACTTAATAGCGATTGTTTAGGAGGTAAAATACACCTTTTCTGAAAGTTTCAAGTGACTTGGAGAACTTTTTACTAGATGTTTTTGAATTTTACATTCAAACATAAAATGCAAAAACACTTAGTAAAAGTTCTCCGATTCGCTTGAAACTTTCAAGAAAGGTATATTTTACCTCCTGAACAATCGTTATTAAGTGACTTTTGTCGATTTACTTAATAGAATTTTGACTTTTATATGTAGCAACTACTTGCAGCTTAATAAAAATTGATAAAAATTAATTGTCCCCAAAAATAAGCTACCCCATAGCTTATTTTCGGAAACCTACGGTAGGTTTTATAATTAACGAAGGTTATAATATATATGTAAAATTATTAAAATATAAAAATTTATATAAAATTTTATCTAAATTTTACGATATATAAAAGTTATATAATTAAAGTATTATATAACTATATAATGCTGTAGATCTATGTAGATTTTATAAAAATGTACTGCTGATGTAATTATTCTCTTGATTTCTTTCTAGTGAATTTGAAAGCATCTTGGAATCTACTTAGAGTTTCACGTTTATCTGCGCACCTTTAATATAGTATCTCCCGTTTTGTCGTTATTTATTCTTCATGTTCAGAATTTACAACACAACAATGACATCCGTTACTTAACTAACTTGGGTTATCTGGTTCTGAGTAAAATCTGCTTCAGAAAGGTCACGCATTACGTGTTTTTCGGGTAACAGCATCAACAGTAATTTGACTGATACATGTCCTTTGCAGCATGTGCCCATCGCCAAACGTTAACAAGTTTGTCCATTATTGTATACAAAAATACCGAATTCTGTCTCATAGTTCTTATTCGGTCTCATAGTTCTTTCTAGTTTATTTGATGTATTAGCCAATATCGCGAATCCTTCATCAAAAAAGTAGTAATGACAAAAAGACTTACTTTAATTAGCGTGATTTAATTGGAATACCAATCTGACTGTACTAACAAACTTCAATAGTAACAACGGGAGAAACTAATTTCTTTATCTGTTACTATTAACTTTATTTTGTATTACACTCCGAAACAACAATAACATCAGCGTGTGAATCAGTATGATTATTTTGATCGAAAAATAGATTTAATTCTGTCACGATGCCTACGTGAATTTGTTTATTCTGTATTTATTCTTATTTAGAAGAATACCGAATTTATTCAATAATAAGAATTCTTTTGTATGTATGCAACCAGCAAAACAATTTAGCCTAAAACCTTCATTGATTCATATTGACGCCTATGAAACCTCTGCTAACTTTAAAGGCATTTATTTAGTCATATGATTTAGCCTTTTTTACAAATTCGTTACAAAAAGCCTTTATTTGAATAACTTCACGCACAAACTATTGATTCATTATGCCATTTTCAGGGCTTTCATTTGTTTCCCTTTGCAAAAATTTGTGAACTATTTCACTAAATATTTATTATTTCTGACTAAGACAATAGATATAATTTAAGGCGTATTAAAAGATAACCTCAAACACACTGCAATAAATTGAAACTTGGAACTCTGAATTCACTGAGCCGGACGTTGATAGCAAAAATAGTTAGCAAAGATAGCTAGTGAAATTAGCAAATTTAGCAAAATAGCTTATTATAAGATTATATTTATTAATGATTCCAACAATACTAGATCAGTTTGTTTCATAATATAAATTAATAAATTATAAAAATATTAAAATATTAACACGAATAAAAATAAAGGGTTGAATATCTAATTCCAATACTGTACCAAGGCTGAAAACGATATTGAACAGTGACTTTTATTATGTCAACTTCCATCGTTTAAAGTTAGCGATGTAAACCAAACCCGAATGGGATTTCTACCTAATTTGGGTTTGGGGCTCTACTATTGGTGTTATTCCAAATTTAATACAAAACCCGACCCGGTGGCCCATTTATTTTTGCATATCCCAAACCTCAAGGATCAATCATCTCTACTAAATAAGATGGCGCAGGACGAACAAATGTGACGCATGCGATAGTGCAGGGCAAAATTGTGGAAACAATTCTCCTGCATAGCTAGACAATGACAATTTATTTGCCTCATGATCAGTGTTTAAAATTCGATTTTGTTTCAATGTGCAGAAAGCTTGATAATATTTGTAAGCATAATAAAAATTCGAAAAAAAGATGCGTGACATGTCTGACAACATAATAAATCTGCAGATTCAAAAAAAATTATACTTACAGAATTTATTTTCAATCTGCGCACCACAGATTCCGAGTATAGATTTTAAACACTGCTCATGATTCGTGCTCTAGCGATACATAAATTTGGTTACAACACAGTACGACACAGTTGTCGAATCTAGTAAAAACCTTTGGGAATCTAATAAATCCCAAACTATCAGGTTTGGTTTACATCGCTATTTAAAGTGTCATCAAAGATTAGTATTTAAATTATTGCAAACAATTACTGTAGATAATAATTAAGAATAACAGATTTTCCTTTTAATGTGAATCAAGAATGATACTTGCGAATAGCCACTATTTCGATGGCTGTCTAATACCAGATATATACTCGGAGGTTTACCAAAAAAGGAAATAAGTACGTATTATTTTCCGAAGGTGTATATTTTTCTGCAGGTAACTTCCTGATTAGGCAATTTAATTAAAATTAATAATTAAATTGATAAAAAAGTATGTAACTACGTACGAACGTACATTTGTATATTTGAATCTCTCAAACTGTTAATATTGTTTAATTTATGTTTAATCTGTGAATTTATGTAAAATAATATTTAGGTAACAATTAGCTCACGATTGATAACTGGCACAATACGAATAAGTACATACGACACATATAAATTGTTTCATATCATTTTGTACGTCCCGATGTAAGAGTGTGCATTGGTGTACATACAAGTGAAGACACGATTGTGCCAAAAAAAAAACAGTGGTACATACTGATCAATATTGTACATTGTCGATCAAGTCTGATACTTGATAACATTTCTTTACTCTCTTATTTGTTCAATTATAACACTAATATTAGCACTAATGTCGAAAGCGTTTTAAATTCAGAAATTTTTATAGCTAAATACTTACTACTGGTAATTCGCTTTTATCATCAAGCCCAAATTGCGAAACATTTCATTAAAAGCTTTCTAGATTTAGCGTAACCTATTCTAAAATTGAAGCTTGAATAACTCCAGAAAGGTTATGTAAGCAATCCCGACATCCAAAATCCCGTCAGGTTAAAATCCCGACAATACTAAAATTTCGATTTTCGGGATTTTGAACGTCGAGATTTTGGATGTCGGGATTTTGTGGTAGAACCATTATTCTCATTGCATCAAGAATTTCAAAGCCACGAGATCAACTGGATCTTCAGAGATCAACTATATTGCAATGTTTAGAAATTATAATTCATTAAGTAAGGCGCTATTCTTTTTAAATACTTAAGGTAAATATTCAATAAATAAGAATTGTTTTTTAATATACTGGTATTAGAAGTTTCAAGTATATCGATAGAAAATAAACCATAATAAAGAAATTTAATTGAGAGTATTTATTACACTTTGCAAAATTATGTGACCATATGATGATAACAACCTCAGATATATGGTAAATTGTTATTATTTTAAAAAAAAACAAACCCAAAAAAAGGAATATTCATAGAAATTATTTGAGAACACAATAATTGCTTAACAATCATTGTTTAACTACATTAAGTTACGCCCGATCTTAAAACAATAAAATTCTTATGTAAGTCCAAACTTTAGTTCATATGCTGCATATGTCTAACATATAACGCAAATATTCTATGTCCACAAATTGCATTTAAGAGTTTACTGCATAGTATATAACGTATATGATTGTTTTTAGTACAAGACATTTCAAGACATTTCAAGGCATATGACTCGATCATTACCGTTACTACGACTAATCAGGTGCAAAATTAGTAATTTGAACAATAGCAGCAATAGCGCTTTATTAGTAATGATTGTTTCTATATTTAGTATACGTAGCATTTTTGAGATAAGCAAAAAATTATTCGCTTATAACTGTTGTACTTCAGATTAGAATAGGCGTAGATTTAAAATTTAGCCTCGTAAAATTGTAATTTGACCCTGAGGTGCGTCAAACTGGTTTTGTCATACTGAATACGCATAATAAGTTAAATGTCATGATAATTTTTAATAAATAATAATTAAGAAATTAATAAAAATTGGTTCACTTAAACTTTTTTTACATACCATTTAAGGGTGGGACGAGTATTATGGCGCACTTAAGATTTGCTAATAGTAAAAATTTTTAGAAAAAATTAATTTATTCACTAAATTTATCATATTAAAATAACATTTACTATCTAATTATAAAGAAAATTCTTTGTATTTTAAATAAAAAACTTGGTATTTCGAACTTCAAAAACTATCTAAAAATTGGTTTGCTTTTTTCATGTGGGGGTATTATGGCGCACTATACATATTGATATTCAATATTGTGTTACGATATATCGATACCTTTTTATATTTTACTTTCTTCCCCTAGAATCAGTGTTGGCATTTGAACTAATTAAAATAATATAACAAAATATGGACATAGTCATTTTTCAATTGGACATATACATTTGGACTATGTCTAAATTTTTTCAAAAATATGAACGTCCAATCGCCAACACTGCCTTGAATTGTCCAAATAGGAAAAAAGAAAAAAATGGCATAATAATACCTAGCTTTCCTCAATTCTCGATCAGAATTGATTAATTTTTGTATCATTAAATTCGTCTCAGTAATACGAACGAATGGTACGAAAATCATTCTTTCAGTTCACTGTTTTGAGAGATATTGATAAAAACGTAGGTGCGCCACAATACCTCCCGCGCCATAATAATTGCCCTGCCCTTATATATTTTATATCGAACTAAACACTATGGGTATTCTTTATTACACGTAAAACATTCGGTAGATATTTTAGTAACTTCATTATAATGTAATTTATCGTTATATAAAATACATTTAGCTCTTTATATTTATTTAGATTGATTCTTCTTCACAGCACTTTTATTTATATACCTCAAAACAATTGCAAAATTTAACGAACAAAAAATAACAGGACATCAAGTATTACAAAGATCTATACAGCAAAGATGACCTCTGCAATGATTGCACAAATTATAATACGAAAGCAGAGAGCACGTACGTGCGTAAAAATCCCTATTTCAAAAATCAATTTATTTTAATATGACGTATGCTAGATAAATTGATCTGCATCTCAAAATCAAATTTCGGTCTGGCGCAACTCAATTTCAAATTCGCCCATTCAAATTTCACGCACAACATAATAAAATAAGCTTGAAAAATTTGAATTTATTCTACAAACATCTCTTTATTGCTCGCTCTTTGTTTTTGCTAAGATGAAATAATTTTACACAATCCAATTAATTATACTTTCAAAGATTGCATGGTACAACTTTATGCCAAAACTTTTCCACTTCTGTACATGCTTACAAGGATCACAAATATAGCCACCTGACCGTGGGTGTTGCAGCACAATACTTAATCGTTCATTGAGAAATTTCTGTATTGTGGTGACGCCAAACCTACAGTATGTACACTATCACTGTACGAAATACGAAATCAATTTAGTTTTATTAAATAACTTTCGATCATTGAAGAAATCCCCCAACGATTTTTCGTGTAAAACAAATAGCTCAGTGTAACGATTTGTGTAGCGACATAGACCGTGGAAATATCATTCATGTCTTGATCCTGACCTGAAAAGCTAAACCATATACTTTAGCCCGTTGAAGTCCAAAATCGGAGACCACAAACTTTGAGCCGATTACCCAATTTCAAAATAGGGGGTTGTTTATATGCATCATGTGATTTTTAATTTACAAATTTGTTAGTAATCGTTTAAAAAAAACTACCTGGCTTTAGTCGACCTCCAAAATAGAAAATTTTTAGATTATTTATAAATAGAAATAAGGTCAAAAATCACTTCTACGTACGTATAAATTATATATTGAAGAAGTACCTATTTAATAAGAATGAATGAAAAATAGAAAGATCTACGTAAAAATTTTTAACAGTACGTACGTACGTACTACTGTCCAATCTGTATTAAGTTAGCAATGTGCAGGCAATAATAATAAAAAATATTAATAATAAATAAATAACAAATAATAATAACGATATGATATAATAATTGCGTTATCTCAATTAATTGATGTCTAAATAAGGAAATTTTCTGCTTTACGTAAAGAAATTTTAATTATATTTAAATCAGACCTTTTTTTACAACTAGCAAAATAGCTCGCACTAATATTAAACATAATTTTATTTTTCATCAGTACCTACGTATGCAAGTACGTACATACGTGCTACATGTCAAAAAATATTTATTTGTATACATTATTAACAAAAGGATAACAGATTAAAATTAGATAACTGTAAATTATTGTAGTTAACGAAAATAACATATTTACGTGGTACCTAATGCATGTCAAAAAGATAATCGAGTTTAATCATTTATTTTGATTTTCGGACTGATCCGAGATCACAATTTTGATTGGTTAAAAGTAACATGTGACTATCGTAACATGTGACTATCGGGTAATCTCGTGATGTGCTTGGCCTCGAGTATGCAAATCGACTTTCATTTATAATTGAAAAATGTCAATCGTGTCAAAATCTGCATGAATCCAATAAAAACTCATTTTTCAAAAAATTGCAAAATGGGCCTTTTTAATACGAGACACTCCATATGCCATTCCTAAAAAACCCGACACTAACGTAGCAGATCATAGCTTATTTATATTTTATTTTAGTTAT